TGGCCCAGAGGGGCATCTCTGAGGAATTACTGATAAAGGATGAAAATGCCCAAGCTTGATTTACAGATGGGTCAGCTCAACATGTGGCTGCAAGCCACTACAGCTTAAATCAGAGAAAATCCTCCTAATAGACAGAGTTTGGGACAGTGCATCTGGTCTCTACTTTGTGTGATACAGAAGTGGCCTGAGATTAGAACATATAAGGACTTATGAATAGTCTGGCTAGTCGATCAAAATCCTAGAAGAAAAAAGGTTGAAAGATGAAAGACAAAGATGTCTGGCAGATAGAAATATGGATAGATGACAGATAGATATAGATAGATGATGAAAGATAGATAGATAATAGATGATAGATGATAGATAGATAGATGATAGATAGATAGATAGATAGATAGATAGATAGGAGTGAATATAAAGTGCGAAGATCTTTGTATTAAAAATTAACACCAATCCAAGGGCCCCCACTGTGGAAGAGGCACTAATCAACCAAGTAGATAGACTGGCTCAGCCAATTGATGACAGCCAGCTGTCATTGGCCAGTCCAATGCTGGAACAGTGGCCATATTAAAAAGCAACAATGATGACAAAGATAAAGGTTAGGCATCAGCCCAGCAGTATGGGCTCCCATTTTCCATAATGAATCTAGCCACTGCTTTCTCTAAATATCTTACCTGCCAGCAACAAAGACCAGTACTGAGCCCATGATATGGCACACTTCCTCAAGGAGACTATCCGTCTACTTGATGGCACGTCGTTTATCCTGGGACCTTTCTACCCAGAAAAGTCCTGTGATTTATTCAGATAGGAATAGACATTCTGGGTATGAATTGCCTTTCCTGCCCTAGTTCTTAGCCATCATCACTATTCCAAGAGTTTGTTCTACCTGCATAGTATCCCAATACAACAGAGTAGGCATAAGAGTAAGTTCATGACAAAGGGATACAGCAATCATATCACATTCATGAAAATGTGAATCTGAGCAATGACGGTTAGACAGTTATGGACATGGAGATTTATTGTCTACATATCTCTACAAGAAAAAATTTATTTCCCTAAATGTCCAGGTACTGCCAGCCCCTTCAGAAATTGCCTCTGCTGCAGAGAACCCTACTTCCTATGGAGGCCCACATCCAGCAACTTATCTGAGCATGAGTAAAAAGTTACAGCCAACTCATCTCAGTGAATTAGGATCATTTTAGCACCAGAGTTCAATCAAGATGACCAAGTCTTATATCACATCTGCATGACACCTCAGATTCTTCTGCTCAATCTTATTTCCTTGCCTTTTCTTCCATAGTTGTTGATCCCAAGGGCATTGCCTAATAAACATCTGTCATCTAAGCTCCATTTATATGCAGTTCCTAGAGCAGTCAAATTCATAAAAAAAGAAAGTAGAATAGTAGTTGCCAGGGGCTGGGAGGAAAGAGGAATGGGGAGTTAGTGTTTGATGGGTCGGAGTTTCAGTTGGAAAAGATGAAAAAGTTCTGGAGAGAAAAGATGGTGATGGTTGTACCACAACATAAATGTACTTAATTTTTAAATGTTTTTAAAAGGTAAATTTTATGTTACGTATATTTTACCATAATAATAATAATAAAAGAGAGGTAGCGAATACAATATATGAGGAGAAAAATTGCAAACTTCTTTGGAATTAAGCTTTGTTTGTCTGGGTGGGGAAAGCATGGAAAACAAGATGAGCAAATTCGCAAGGAGTGATGGAACAACCCAGGCCACAGAAAACTGATGAGCAAGGGATCCAGGAAGTTAGAAAGAAGAACTTATAATAGCTATTATCCTGACCAATAGGATAGGTGAACCCAACAACCCAGATGATTTTTTCATGCTGAAATGCAAACAAATGGGCATCTTAGGTCTCTCCTAAAAGGTTATGTTTCTACCTCTGAAAAGATTTCCAAGGAAAGATTTGGGTTTAGATTGGGCCTGCTGTCTGCACAACTGTTTCCCTGTGGGCTAAGACAAAGGGTCATTAGATTTTGGGATAATATTCCCCAGTTTATAAGAAGAACATAGCAAGTTGCTAAGATTCAGAGGAGATCAATAGGACACAAGAATCAGCTGAATTTGCAGGCCCTGTAGCCATAGCAACAACCTTGGCAAACCCTCCACACAGATAGCAACAAGCCACTTCAAAATCACTGGGAGCCAAGCCAAGAGAGGGAACACTGAGACAAGGACTTCATAAATCTTAAGGATAAACTCCCTGCGCATGAAAAACAAAGAACTTCCAAAGCATTTCCTTTGATTTCTTCTGATCTCTCTTAATTTAAGAAGCCTGGCCCTAAAGTCTAGAGATCAGGCCCAGTCTTTCAAAGGAAAGGACAAATTGCCCCAAAGTCCTTAATATACAGGTCCATTAAAACATTAGATCTGCCTGGAGAGACTCTAAACCATGTGACCTGTTTTAAACAAAGGATAATATTCAAGAATCTCAGGGGCTTTTAGATACAGGATCAAAAATAACAGTAATTCTGGGAAACTTGAATATAAGGAGAGACTATTGAAGAATATGGAGGAGGAAGTAGCTGAGATTGCTGTGTTGTGATAACCACTGGACACAGAGGACCAAAGAAGCTTTCCTGTGATAGCATCTCCTTTCCCTGAGTTTGTGATTGCAAAGGATTTATTGCAATTCTAGGGATGGAAAGGGCCTTCAAAAAGTTAAAGAGTAGAACCCCAACAACTGGGCATGCCGAAGGAGAGCCTCTAGAACAACCAAAATTATTAATATAAAATTGTACCAAGGTGCAGTAGGAGTCTACCATATTACATAATGGAGGTGTTGAAGAAACTGACAATAACCCCATATGCCACTTCCCCCTGTAACTCCTTGGTTTGAGAAGAACATTAAATCAATCTTTTATTAATCTGTAGTCACTAATGTAGTAAATACATTCTTTTAGATCCATGTTAATATTGATCACCAATGTGGTTTTTCTTCATTTGGTCAGAATTGCACCTTTATTGCCCTACTATAGGTTTAAATTTGCTAGCACTAATAGAAGTAGGAATTATTTTATTCTGAAGACTATTAAACCATTTTTACTATTATTTTCTACATTTATAAAATCAAGAGGTTTTGAGCTGAAACATCACATACACATTCTCATGTAGCTTTATTAAAGTTATATGTTGAACTCCCTACCCTCTCCCCACACATCATCATTAATTTATTTATGAGAGGATGAACAAATAGGAATAATACCAGACAGCATTAAAGCAATATGAAGTGTGGTCCAAGGTCTGGCAGCATCAAGCATCATCTGGGACATTGTTAGACATGCAAAAATTTCATTTCCCTCACTACCCTCTGTTCTATAGTTTAACAGATCCATCCTTTGACAAATTCTCCCAGGTAATTTTGTGGGTACTTTAAAATTTGAGAAACACTGCTCTAGACTAGACCTATACATTAGGAACTCTGGAGCTGGAGCTAGCAATTCGTGTTTTACTACACCGTGTAGGCTGGGAACTGGTGGGAGCTGCTACCATTATCGTTTCCACATCCCCAATGATGATTGCTACATCTAAGATGGTGACATTGACAACTACTGGCAGAGGCAAATAAACCTCTGAAAGGTATTTAAGAACCTACAGGACTTGTATCTGTGTAGCATTCTAAACTCATCTATGTTACTCTCCCAATTGATTACTAAGCTGCAGCCACAAAGCTCTTTCTCACCTTAGGGACTCCAAACTCAGTTTCCTCTTTTTGAAAGGCTCTTTTTCTCCTCTTAGCTTGACTGGATCTTTCTTACTTATCCTTTAGGGCCCATCAGAAATGTCACCTCTTTAGTGAAGCCTTCTCTGACACATCCTATCAAAATTTGTTCTTTTTTTCTTGTCTGAACCTTGTTTTCCTCATAGAACACATCACAATTCACAATTATGGTATTTGTTAGTTAATCTGTTTGCTATCCGTTCCCCCTACTATACATTAAGCTCCATAATGCAGGGCCCACTTCTGTCTTGATCATCACATTGTCCTTAATGCCTAACAGTATCTTCTGTATACTAGGCTTTAATTAACATTTATTGAATAAGTAACTAAATAGGAGATATAATGGAAAAGATGCCAAACTCAGATAGGTATTACCATTATTAGTGGTAGTGGCACAAAAGACTAATTCTTTCTGTGATCATAGTGGGCACAGGAAATGGCCTTTGCATACTGAATCAAGAAAATAAGTAAGCATAAGTTGCCTATAACATTTGATAATTTTCAAAATTAGAAGTATCTAAGTACCAAAGGTTTTCTCTAGGGAACTTAAAATTTTGTCATTTTAAAATTATGTTACGTAAGAAGAATGAATAACTTCTACCCAAAAAGAAATGAAACCAACGCATAAAATAAAAATGTTTAATTCCCTTTTGAATGTGTGCTGAATTCAATACAAATTGATAAAGCATTTTTCTAGGCCAACGGAACCAATGTTATATTTAGAAGGCAATTGACTGCAAAAAAAAATTATCTATTCTATACTTTATTTTTAAAAAGAAATTCAAGATCTTATTCTATGTTTAACGTGTTGCAATAATGATGTCTTCTTTACAGCCTAAGACACCACAACAAAGAAATGGCACAATAAATTTTTGTTGTGTTTTTCTCTTTGTAATATCTTCATATACCAGTAAAAAATAAACTCTTTAATAAATAAATATATATAATAAATATTTGCAAATCGAAAATGTATAAATAGGTCCATCCTTTAAAAAAATGTTTCGTCTTGGTGCAGCATGTTTCATAGTCCACATTTCACCCAGGTTTTTTACATACAATGCCATAACTTGCAAAATCCTTCAAGGTCCTCAAAATTTTTGTAGCAATAATCTTGGCCAACTATGTCAATCCATTTCTTCAACATGAAGTATCTATTTTTAATGTAACTTTTAAAGTAAACATAATCCAGAGAGGTGAGACACCAGCAGCAAACTAGGTGGGGTTCCCATTATCCACAGTTTAACAGATTTTCAGCTTCAACCTACTAGCAAGGACTGAGCTAGTATACCTAAGTATACCTAAGGGAACTTATCCACTTATAAAGAGAGATCTTGATCTAGATGAAGTCAAATATTTTTGTTTCTTTGTTTTCAATATTCTTTCCAAATCCAGTTTCCTATTGGAAAATTAACTTCATAATGTTCTGAATAGTTTCCTGGGTTGTTATTTTACGATGAGAACTGTAATAAGAAAGAATAATTGTATTTTGGTTCTTCGGTAAAGACACTATCACACTTCAACTGTATATCAGTATGTCCTTATACAATTCAGGAACTCTTTCTGGATCCACTGGTCTAGGCAGAAAATGTGTAAATTTCTGATGTCTTTTAGACTTAGCACCATCTCTTGGAGTTCCATCTTTGTTAAGTGCCACAAAATACCTGCGGCCTGTGTCTCCATGTTTATATATGTTGGATGAATAAGTATTATACCAGTTCTCTTCAAATTGCTCCCTAAAGATGCATTCAGAAGTCAGTTTCTCCTAAAAGAGAGAAGATAATTACCATTAAAAACATAGCTTTGAGAGAATTTTCTTAGAAAAATCTTACGCCTATATTTTCTATTCCTTTGCCTATATCCTTTCAGGGATATAAATGCCAATTAATGTCAATTCTCTATTTTATTTTCAAATACTTTAAAAATATTTTGAACTTTCTCATGCTCTATTTTTATCTCCCTCCTACTACCATCATCACCAAACAGGACTGTAATTTATCTTGTCCCATCATTAGATTTTAAAGTTCTACATAGCAAATCTCTACTGTATCTTAAAGCATTTCAAGATCTTACTAACATCTAAATTCCTAATTCAAGGTCATTACTTCAAATCATGTATCTTCACTTTATGAATTTATTAATTGTTGGATGACACATTCTCCATAATTAACTTTGATCTGGATGTTACTATTAGGTAAAATTAGTAAAAGTCAAGTAATTTCCTGTCTTTTCAACATGGACTGCATATTATCTTAAGAGATAGACGACAGTTGATTTTTTAATCCAACACAAATATGAAGAAGAAAGATTATGTACATATTTTTACCTTTTAATTGTAATTCTAGTTCTATGATTACTATACATGTGTTATTCTTCTTTCTTCTGAGCTGACAGAAAGCCTGGAAAGGGCATGGTTTGCCCTTACAAAACAGATATTAAGTGAAATACCACTTACTAAATACTATAACCAGTTTTTCTTAGTGTATATTGAAATTTTAACTGTATATTGTGCTTTCAGTTGAGATTTTAAGAAAAAGAAGATACCAGACAGTGTCATCTGGTAAATTGTAATAAGTAAATTCTCTTTGCAAATAGTTACAGCTACTTTGACTCAAAGAAGAGATTTTATATGAGAGGATGGGCAGAAAAGTGGCACAGGTTTACATGTCACTAATTTTCTTAAGATTATATAACTCATTGTGAACAAATTAAAAATGTTAGCAGTGAAAGAGAAAAATCTATATTGTACTTTAAACTGAGTTTTATATTTTCTTGTTACTTTAATTCTTGGGTTCTAAAAAATATTTCTCATATTAATGAAATATTAACCTGAAAAGTTTACATTAAGCCCCATTTTTAAAACATTTATAGTAGACTCACAAATGGGCACTTATTCTCAGTGGTAAGATAAAAATTACCCAACTCAACTGTGAATGAGCTCGTGGCTATTATAATTAACAAGACTGCAGATATGGTCGAACTAGTGGGGTTACCCATTATCTGTTGTATCTTGCAGTATCCTAAGATTTCATTCACTCATTTCATATATATAGAGGTCAGCAAGTAAGTGATATATACTTAGCTATAGGAGATGATAACGGGTAGAGAAAATTTACATTAAATAAATATAAAGGTACAAAGAATCTAACATAGCAGGAAGAACAGGAAGAAAATGCTCTCATTTTTTTCTTTCTCTGCTGAGAATGATCAAAACATGGAGAAAAGCAGGAAGAATCAAGATAATAAACAGGAAGAACTAGTGAGCTAAAAGCAATAAGAGATTAGGGTTTAGAAAATAAAACTGAGTTACTATACTATTACCCAGACACATGGAAACTTAACAAGATATAATTTTTAATTTGCACATAAGTATATTTTATATATTTCCTTTGACATTACTAGTAGTAATATCTACACTATTAGTAGATATTTTACTTACAAACTGGACAGTCATTATTTTATGAATTATGTAATTTTTAAAAAATACATACTGATCCATAGAGTTCTCCTTTGTCATTCATTCCAAGGTAAAGACCACTGTCCACACCTCTAATACTGACCAGTCCCACTGCCACACTGATGAATTCCAGGATACCTGAATTTATAAACAAAATAATGATTTATGTTTATTAATGAACATATGACTAATGAAAATCTTCCAAACAGTAGTAGACCAATACTGCTAAATACAATGATGTACATAAAAGTCATGTGTAAATTGAAAAGTGCTGTACAATGTCTTGTTATGATGATCCTTTCATTTTATAGATGGAAAAAAAAAAAAACTACAAAGAAAAAAATGCTCATCATGGTATAATGTTAAGGGTGTAAAACCTTAAACCAGACTGACCTGGGTTTTAATTCCAGTTCAGTAACTTACTGACTTTTCAGACTATGCAAGTCATTTATCTTCTTTGAACTTCAATTTCCTCATATGCAAAATGGATGAAATGCCTCCCTACAGGAGAGAGGTAAGGACTAACACATTTAGGCATTCAACACATGAAAGCTATTATTATATTAAATTAGTATAAAATAGAGGTGTTCTCAGTTCTCCGTGGTTACATTAGTTAATTATAACCATGTTCTATTAATTATAATATTGGATTTTTTTCTTTTTTTGCTTACTGTGAATCAAGTCAATCTTTTTTTCTAGAAGCAGTCAGCATATCTTATATGGTATGTTAGTATTTTCTAGTTTATAAAAGGCTTCCATTTATATTTTCCACCTGGTCTTCAAGATATCCTCTTAGAATCCTCTAAGATAGGTATGGAAGATGTTCTCCCCATTTATGCATAAAGATACTGCTGCTCAAAGAGGTTTGTTGATTTGCCTAAGACGTAAAGTTTGTAATTAATAGAACCGATACTTGAACTCACATCTTCTGAGCCCTAATTCAACTTTTCTGCTTCAGGACACTATTAGTTGAAAACAATACAGTAGTTTCAAAACTTTATAGATTAGATAATATACTATTTTCTGTCACATGATTCTTAAAAATAAATTTTATAGTTCAAAGAAATGAAGGAACTTTATAATTCATTAAATGTGATAGTCAAATACCAAGAATTTAGTATGCAGGACAATTTTTCTAACAATAGCTTTTTAGAATTATTTTCATTCATTGGTAGGTAAACTAATATCGAAAATTCTCTACTTAATACACCAAAACACCATAGTGAAAAATAAAACAACTAAATGCTTACTTCTGTATCACTCTTTTTCTCTGTATACACAGTAACCTTTGGACTAATGTCTTTGTCTTATTCTTCCCCTTAGACTCTGCTGAAAAAGTCTATAGACATACTTTCTATATTTGGAACTTCCTTCCTCAATAGCTTTCTACCTTTACCCCTTCACCCCCTCTTAAGCTCTACAAACAGTATAAATGTGCACCATTTAGCCTGATTCTTGCTTTTAAGTCATTTCTTGATTTATTGTGCAAGTTCCTGTTTGGACACGTGATGCTCCCAAGGCCAAGAGAAAGTACCAAATCTGGCTATTTGCTTATATGGAGGGCTCTATTCTGTCCAGAGCCTAATTCATTCTTTGGCAGAAACATAGATTCTTAAACTCTAAATGTAGATTCTTAACAGCTCAAATGAGCTCTTTCAAACTATTAAAAGATCATGTAGAACACTAGAGCTATCAAGGATTATACAGCAACAATGCACTACTAAATAGTCTGTAAGTAGCTTTTCAAAGAGTCAGTATTTCAATTGAGAGCCTGAGGCAGAGAGAAGATAAGATACAGCAGGAAGACACAAAGGCCATAGGATAGCCATTATAATGAAAAATATAGAGGGAGTAAACAGCAATTAAATTTACTGTCAAGCTCATTACTGAGTGATTCCTATTAAAAATAAAAATATCAAGCCAAGACATGATTAGTAGAAGAAGATATATTAATGAAATTTCATCCAGAGTATACTTACAAATGTATAATTACTTGAAGTTGTATTGAATGTTAAATTCAAACTGAAAAGGGCACTATAGCTCACAAGTAACTTAATTCTCTTTAAGTATCTGATTTACATTAAGATGCTATTGTCTTTCAAAGAACAGGAACTGATTAACTGATTAGGATGTGTAATAGAACCAGTTTTCAAGTACAATAAAATATGTTTTGTTTCCATATAGGCCAATTATATACCAGATTTATAAAGTATCTGTTTTTCTTGCAAAACTAAAACTACCTATACTTTAATTCCCATCTTAAGATAATGCTATCTTGTTAAAAATATGTAGTTGTAGAAAGACAAAAAATTATATATATTCTTAGAATAATTATATTCAATAGTTTCAACTTTATTAAACAACATTTGAAACTTTATACATAACCAGGCACAAATAATTTTGCAATGGTTCATAGGGTTGATGGGGAAAAGGTTATATATTTTTGTGTTCTTAAAGATTTTAGCCACACTTTTTAATTCTTATCCTTTTTCTCCTCCAGGAAATAGTATACCACATAGTAATTTGTAATCATTTGATTCTCAAATGAGATTTGACAAGTCTTTTTTATTTATAATATGAGGCGGCAACTAAGCTAATTCCTTCACAAAGAGTAGACATGAAAAACTTTCCTTAAGAGGTAATCACAGATTTTAGATAGATTTTCTAATGCCCAGTGTCCCATAAAAAGACTTGGAGGTACTTTGTCTTTCTGGTATCGTTTTCAAAGCCAGCCTTTTTAAAAATCATAATAAACAGGTGAGTCAACCCACAATGCAACCACATCAGACAAATCTATGGAGAATAGGGGAGAATAAAGGAAAAGCCTTTAAAGAAATATGTTTGATCTCAGGCTAAACTTTTTTTTAAATAATGATTCTATGTTTATGTATTAAGTAGTCTTACTACTGTACTACTGTGCAGAGAAACTCTATTATAAATATAGAGCTGCTCAGATAGGAAATTATTTTAACCTTACTGGGACACTTTTGTCTATTGATGTGGTTTTGAAATTTTAAAATCCAGGATTCTAATATTTTTATTTAATTATGGCCAAATTAGTATGAATTATCAAACATGTTATTTACTTTAACATCCAAAATAGCCAATTTTAAGCTTTTTCAAAATTATTTTTTGATGACAGAAATGAGTTTAAAAGAAAAATAGCAAAATAATTTCATAATTAATAATTGAAACACTAGAAAAAGAAGGCAAATAGAGAAGCATATAAGGTTACACATGCTAAACATAAACTTTTTTTGTCACCACTTCTTTGTAGTCATTTTTGATGTCTTAGCTATCAAAGGCCACTAGGATGCACTGCAATGTACTGTGTAGTCTGTTTATTCCTTTAGGCTATGAGACTAATCTGGGTTATCTTCCCTTTGTGGGACAGTAAATATTTTGTTCTGTACGCAGCTTCCCACAATACAGTGACAAACCAGCACAAAATCAGTTTAAGTCATATTTTTGCAATTACTAAATAATTATACAAAATTTTCGCAAAAAAAAAATGTTCTAGTAAGATGGTAAATCTGATATGCAACATTCATTTCTTAAGGAATGGACTTAAATATCAATTTAAGGAATATGATCTAGTCTACAAATATTTACTAATCTCTTCCCATAGGGTCAGTCTTATAAAGAGACACAAAGTAAAAGAAGCTATTCTTGTCCTTGAAGAGATTACAGTTGAGTAAAATTACAAATGTCTTAAAAGCAGAATTTTCAGTGTGACACTATGTATCACAGGGGGAAGTCTGACTATTACCCAAGCTTAATTTCTACCTGCTCTACTTGTAGGTCTTATCACATTTGTGTCCATTTCTAAATCTTTCTGGTAGCTGGAGGATTTTTCTGTCATGAATCAAGTGCAGTAGTTCTTAAAGGCAAGAGAACTGAGCCACCTGGTGTCAGCAAAGTTCTTTAAAATCAAAATCTTAGCCTTGTCAATTTAGAAACCACTTTCGAAAAGTGACCCCAAGGTTGGCCATTAGGTCCTGACACTCTTGACTCATAGTCATTGGGAATTTGGAAGAGATCAGTGGAAGCCGCAAACATATGGGTTTTTAAAAAGTTAATTTTCTAAGCCTTTGAGTGCTACCAAATGACCACCACATGCTCATTTCTACATTTAGAGTGACAAATGCCCCTCAGCCCAAGATTTACACTTCTTCGAAGTTTTGATGAGTACTCCAAGCCAAATAAAAAGGAATGAGAGTAGAAGAACAAGGGGATGAGGACAAGATAAGAGAGGGCCATTCCAAGATGAGATTCTCAAAGAATTCCACAGAGCTGAGGAGGCTAAAGGAAACCTGACACTGTTGGGCCCTTTCACATTGCTGCTGACAAGTAAATGGGATCTTAAAAACAAAACAAAACAAAAAAAAAACGAAAAAACGATGAATCTCTCCAATGATGTCCCAAGTATGATGATAAAAATCCTCTGAGAGTGCTAGGCAATTAACTCTAATTTGATTTAAAAAACAGACAAACAAACCCGCAATGAGGGAAAGATCCTGGGATGTCAGATTCAGAAAGCATCTTAAAGAGACCATTTAATTTACCCCTATTATTGTACAGACAAGAAAACGAAGGCTCAGACTGGTGGGGGCACTTGTTAGTCACATAGCTAGTTAGGCAATAATTAACAGCACAGAGACCTTATGATTTCCAATCTAGTATCTTAACAATCTGCCTTAACAATCATTCGCTTGTTTCTTTCCTTTAACCCTTTCTGCTCCCAGTCGCTGCTGGAGGTATTCTGAAACCTGTCCCTATGTGTTCCCACCCATATCTTCTTTCGCTTCCCATTTCCTCTTACGTGCGGTTAATACCAAGATCTTTCCTTTCGGGTTTCACAATTTTCTAAAGAGGAGCTTGGTTGAAGAACTGGGCATGCTCAGTAGCCAGGTACATTTTTTTTTTCCCCTTTACCAAAATAGAACTTTAAGAGCGCAGAGAACTGCCACCAGGTGAGCCTGAGAGTAGCGACGGTGCCCATGGAAAGTTAATCTGTTACCTCTTCAAGTGAACATTTACAGTTCTCTAGGAGAACACGTAAATGCTCGTATCCCAAACAACAGCAAGCTTCTGAGCAATAGCCCTGAAAACGTAATCTACTGCACAACTGTAGGGCGAAATGCTTCCTGTTATTAATTTTTGTGGAAGGTACTGGGGGGAAATGTGAGAGGAAGTAGGAGGAAGTAATATGGGGATTTAAGAAACAACAGAAACAACAACAACAACAAAAAACCTGCCTGCGAGGTAATGAGTGCAAGAAAGATCCCAGGCAGCAGGAAGGGCGGGGCAGCAAGGTGTGTTGGGAGCCCCCATCGGTTCTCCTCCCGCCCCCGCGTCCAGAGCAGCAGGCCTAGACTAGGTTACAGGAAAAAGTCCTCCCAGTCCCTGCACTGGCCCGCCCTTCAACCCGCGCCCGCACCTAGCACTGGAAGGGTCGCAGGAACTCTAGCTCCGCGCTGCCCTGTCTCCTTGCGCAGGCGAGTTGGCAGGCGCACGCGGTGGAGAAGAGGGGCCAGAGGCGGGGAGAGGCGAGAGGAGAGAGCTGGGGTACGGGTACGTACCGAAGAGACTGTGGTCCTGCCGGGTGCCTTGCACGCTGCCGTCCGGCAGGATCTGCAGGTGGAAGCCGGTGCGGCAGTAGAGCTGCCGGCGGCGCAGGATGCCGTGCAGGTGCGCCAGCTCCGCAGCCCCGGGCCCGCCGCGGGTGCCCCTCTCCGCGGCGCCTAGGCGCTCGCCCAGCAGCGGTGGCCGCTCCCCGGCAGGAGGCAGCAGGAAGTGCGAGCCCACCTGCTGGCCCAAGCCCTCCAGGCCACCCAGGAAGCCCCCGACTTCAGCTAACGGAGCCATGGAGGGGCCAGAGGGAGAGGCGGATCCGGAAAACAAAAGATCCCCCAATAAAAAAAGTGTGGCGGGGATGGGGAGGTGAATGGAGAAAAATTACAGCGAAACAAGCGCAAAAAGTTAAGACCCGGTTACTCCTGTGAGGTCGCTGAATGGACTTTGCACTGAGATAGCAGGGAAGCTTTCACTGTCTTGGAGCGGTCTTCTTTCCTTGAGTAGATGGGAGCTGGCTGCTGGCTTTGCAGAAACATCTATAGCTGCTGCTGCCAATACTGGGGCTGGGGCTGGGCTGGGGGCTGGGGCTCCAACTCCGCAAACTGATCAGATCAGAGTCCTGTGTACATACACACCTAGTATATATACGGGTCCTCTTGACATATGCTAATCAAGTCCTTTCATGAGCGCTGGGGAGGTTCTGTTTGAAATCCTAAACCGGCCTCCTCTCAACACGTTTTTGCTCTTCGGAAGTGACCAAAAGGAGCCCTGGACGATTCTCTATCCGTGCAGTCGCAAAAATCATTCCCACACTTGGCCAAAGCTAGCCAGCAACTTCGGGGAGGTGCAGTCAAGGCCCCTTTTTGGGGCTGTCTTTGGAACAACCGTGATGCTGTTCGGCTGCTGCTGTGCAACCGCCTTTGATGTGAGCTCCTTTGCAGTGATAGATGGCTGCTAAAGCGAGCCCAGCTTGGCAGGTATATAGAAGAAGAAGAGGGGAGGAAGGGAAGACGGGGGGCGGGGGATGGGTAGGAGAGGAAAAGGAGAGAAGAGGAGAATTGGACTCCTTGGGAGTTGCTGAGAGCCTGCAGTGGACAGGTGCAAAGAAAGGTAAGGGAGAGAAAAGGAAAAAGGGCGTTACCTGAGGCTTAGACCTGCCCAGACACACATGAAAGGAAAATCAAAGCTTTGACAGTTTAACTCGCTAATTTTAAAACACTAATAAAATGTACAAGCATTACTCTTTTCTTTTATCATTTAGATGGGGGATTTTCTTTACATAATCAAGGTTAGCTAGAAACACACATTCGCCCCCCTTCCCGAGTTCTCTTTAATGTTTATCTTTACTCAGCACATGCCATAACCGAGATTGCCTTATATCTATATGGAAGTTTTAAATTGTGTGCTAAGATCATGCACTTTTAATCAATGTAACATCATAACATAATATAATCATGAATCTAGGGATAAAGAGTAAATCAAAAGAGGCTGAAAAGAGATAATTTTCATTCTTATATTTGCCACAAATAGAAAATGAATATCTGTAACAGTGTTATAAATGATGATTGGCTTCTGGAGCCCTTGTCCAACCTAAGAGCACTTTCCTTTCTTGGTTGCATTTTCTTCAAGGTTAGAATTTTTTTTTTTTTTTTTGGTTCACATTTCAGTTATAAGAATAACTAAATGGAAAACATTGATTCTTGATGTTTTTTTGAGACAAAAAATTACTGGTAAAAATAATGTAAATGCCTACACATATTTGTAAAATAAAAAGTCATTGAAGAGAAAGAGTTCGTATATGTCCATTTGAACCTTAAAACTTTGGTTTTATACCATTAGTTAAATTCAAGATGTTTCTGTTAAAATTTTTTCAGTGGTAGAACAGTTTAGAATCAATCACTTGACAAATTTATGCTTCCCCTGAGCAAAAAGTTTTAGGGAATCACTAAAGATTAGTTTTTCAGTCTTGTTTCATAGTCTGTTCAGCAAAAGCCTAAACCTGGGGGCGTAAATGGATGTAACTGCTTTGTTTTATTTGCTCTGAAGGTTGTTTTATGTTGGTTTTTTTTTTTCCTAATTAATTGGCAGGTGCTTTAAAGTAGGTAAAGTTACACCTTTTCATCACTAGGGCCCTAAGTACTGACCCTTGTGCAACTAAGTTATAAAAGAGTCCTTAAAACAAGTAATTTACTGTTGAGAGATATGAAATAAAACAAAAATACTGTCTAAAACAATAAACAAATAAATCACTATAGAAATGTATATTGCTAAGTCTGTTTTAAAGGTTGTACCAGGTAAATGTCATATTATTTCACCTTTCAAATAACAGAAGTCTGTCTTGTGGTGGGACCCCCAAATCCACCATAATCAAGATTTCAAAGCACATCTGTGTAAACATTATCACATCAGTGTAAAACATCAACCAATGAGCTTTTACTTTGAACCAAATCTTCTTAATTGCAGTGTTAAATCAAAGAAAGTTAGATCAAAGTTGTGTGAATCTCATAGCGGGATAACTAAAATAGCCAGTACATACATTGATCACTTTTAAAAAAACAATACTTAGAGGTTTAAAACAAAGATTAAGTACCCTTTAATGAGGTGTGTTTCAAGGTCTAAGTTTTGTATAACATATAATGCTGTTAAAAATTCCACAATGGACATATAGCATTGTCACCTGCTCCATGAGGTACTGGTTTGGTACTAAATTGAATATTTTAATTCCATAAAATGTTTCCCCACATGAACACTTTAAGTCCTGCTGTGTGATTTATAGCTCTTAGACTGTTTAAGTCTTTTGTATTACATATATATATATATATATATAGTCTTTTGTATTACATATATATACACGTACATACTAAAATATGGAGAAATTATGTACATAGTCACCAAAGCCCAAATACTTTAATACTAGAACTACCTTCTCTTTGTACAGCTTTAGCATTTTCAAGTGCATTCCCTTATTTGATCACCACGATAACCCTATAAGATAGGCACATCTCACTATATAAGGCAAAAAAATTCTCCTGGATTCTAGTTCATGGTCCTATACCTGAAGGCAATTTTCTTAAACTCTCTAAATGCCTCTGTTGCCTTTTTTTAGAAAATAAGCACAATGTTAACTCTTGCCTAGTTCGCTATGCCTAGGATTCCTATGAGACTTAAATGTGAAAATATGTAGGAAAGTGCTTTTAAAACTATAAAGTTTTCTATGCATAAAAGATGTTAGACACCGTCAGTTGTTGGAAAAAAATTTGCTTTATAGTCTATAATTCATTTGAAATACAAAATAAATCTTTTTTCCCCCCAAAACCAAACCTTTAATGTGTAAATTTTGAATGGTGCTTAATGTCATTTTATAAAGGGCCAGAATAGAAACAAAAAGATAAGGATTTCTTTGTTTGAACTAGTCATGTGACAGGAAAAGATAACACTAAAGATTTTTTTGCACATGCTGTGATGATATCATGGGAAGTTAAATAATTTTGAAGAGTGTTTTACAAGAGTGCATTATTCAACTTTTAAGTATACACTGCAATCTAATCAACTTTACCTGTGCTTCCTAGAGACCACACTTGCCTTGCTGTTATACAAATATGTGGTACAATTTCTACTTCCACAAAACGTAGTTACAGTTTTCCAGACTATATAATTTCTATATAGCTTTTCAGCAAGCATATTGTCATGAATCTTTGTTTTTACACTTGAAAAAGGAATTAATACCTTTCGATACTTCTACATGTGTTCAACTTGAAAAACAGAGCTCATTTAAAAGTCATGACTTATACCCCCAAGAAAATAAAAGTACATTTGCCTACCTTATTTTTATTTATCATTACAAAATATTGGAACCAACATAAATTTCCACACATAGGAAACTGATTGAATAAATTAAGGTTTATTCACACAGTGGAGCATTATATAGCCGGAAAAAAAAAAAAAGAATGAAAAAGAGCTCTATAACCTAATATGGAGTATTTCCAGGATATATTATCAAGTGAAAAGAGCAAAGCTTTAGCATACTTTATGTATAGTTTGTTACCTTTTCTGTAAGAAAGAAGGAAAATAAGAAACTTCTACATGTGCATGCTTTTTTTTTTCAAAAATATAGGAAAGATGAACCCGAAACTATGAAATTGGTTACCTTGCTAATTGACTACCTAGGATGGTTATGAATGAAGTAGAAGAGAATGGGGAGTGAAACTTCTTTGAGAACAACTTTTTATAGTTTTAACTTTTTGGAGAAATGTTAATGTTTTAGATTTTTTAAAGTAAAATAGAATAAATAAGACTGAAAAGGAAATGGAATAAAATCAGAAATAAATGAACCTAACTGAATTAAAGTGAATAACAACCACACAGAAGGAAATAATAATAATATTTTTTTTAAAAAACTAAGTAACTTTCAAATGCAGTTCTTTGACTATGCAATAAAGATCTAAAGTTCAAAAATTACATAAATAATTATTGAATTTCACTTACAAAGATTGTTTTTCTCAGTGATAGGAGTTAAACTAGTATATATTGTAAGATTGAGCAAATGAGTGAATATATATATAGTTAATAATGAGAGCTAGGTGTTTCGCACTGTTAAGTAATGGAGTTACAAATATGAAGAGGAAAGATTAGAATGAATCCTATAACATTTAATTAAAATTGCAATTATCAAGATTAACACATGAGATGTATGTATGTGTGTGTATCTTAGCTCCTTCATCAAAGGGGCCTAGAACCAAAGAAATACCGGGGCAATTGATCATACTTAGTGCCTAGATCTTTAGTTTCTCAATTCAATCTACCACAAAAAATGACCCACAGTTCCTGGAAAATATCTGGTTCCAGGACTGAGGCATTACATGCTTTTTAAAACTATTTTTAAGAGCAATTTTAGGTTTACAACAAGTAAAAGAATACACACTTGCATAGCCTTTCCCATTATTAACATCCTCCACCAGAGTAGTACATGTGTCACGATTGGTGAACCTACATTGATATATCATCCATCACCCAAAGTCCATAGTTTACATTAGGGACCACTCTTAGGAGTGTATATTCTAGGAGTTTTGGTAAATATGTAATGACATGTATCCATTATTGTCATACAGAGATACCTCACTAATGAAGGTGTGTAAATGGCAAATAAGCATATGAAAAGATGCTCCACATCATATGTCATTAGGAAATCCAAAACACTAACACCAAATGTTATTAGTATTATACAGATTATTTTCACTGCCTTAAAATGCTCCACGTTCTGTCCGTTTATCCTTCCCCAAACCCAACTCCTTTTTACTGTCTCCATAGTTTTGCCTTTTCCAGAATGCCACCTAATTGGAATCGTACAGTAAACAGCCTTTTCAGATTGCCTTCTTTCACTTAGTGATACGCATCTAAGTTTTTCCATGTTTTTCATGGCTTTATAGCTCATTACA